GAACACTTACTCTTTTGATTGATCAACCACTGCAACACACGGTTTTCGTTTTTGAGATTACCTATGTATATGCGAAAAAATAAAAGAAACATAAGATACTTAGCATCTAATCGGTCTCGATTCAAAAACTTTTTTCTCAAACTCACCATCATACATGATTGGAACGCCTGTCTCGTAGTAAACTAAGGCGGGGAATGCGAAAATACCAATTTCGTGCGCCAACTTCACATCGTTCGATTTGACAAATTGTATGCCCTGCTTGTCCGTATCATCGTCTATGGTTTCCAATTCCTCCAAGATTTGTGGACACGATTCGCATTTATCGTCATCTATTAGATTGTCAGGACTTTAGTTAGTAAAACGAAGAAGTCTAGCTTTTTCCGCGCGAGTCAACTTACAGAAAAAGACCGCCAAGTGTTCGACGTCATTGATCAGCACTTGCAAAGTTTTGCGATCCACAGATTCGATAACATCAGCCGTCGACTCATGCAGATCGATAACCCAATCCAGAATTTCCTCCTCCTTCATGAGATCACCTAAAATAAAGAGGAAATAGTAATGAAGTAAACTTTCTGCAGCGCCGTTACCCCCTCGCGCACTTACCATCGTATATTGTTCTGAATTTGTGTCTGTAGAATGCCAATGCTGGCAAACTAGCCAAATCATATTCTTTGTCCACATCCGGATCGGAAGTCTTGATAAAATCAATGTCCTTCTCCTCACATTCGTCATCAATGTTTTCCAATTCATTGAGTATCTTTTGTGAGCGCTTATCACCCTCGCGATCTATAGGTTCAATGGAGAAAAACCAACATTTATTACACATATCTCCAGCAACAAACAAACTCAACTCGCACTTACAGAAGAACACGACAACATGGTCGTTTTCCGACAATATCTTATCCAACATTTTGGTATTTACTTCCTCAATTTTACCGGGTATCTCCAGTGTATCTTCATCGGTTATCCACGCTAACACCTCATCTTCATCATCCAAATCGCCTGTAAATACCAATGGATCACGATTTCTAAAGAATACCAACTGCGGATAGTTTTTAATGTTATGCTTCTTAGCGATATTTGTATCCTCGGT